ATCGGCTGCTAAGACAATAGCAGCCCAGCAACAACAACAGAAATCCTTAGACTCTCCAGCTGAAGTTGTTCTTGATAATAACATAGCCCTTGATTTTCTTTTAGCTCAGCAAGGAAGTGTCTGTGCTCACTGAGCAAGCCACTTGGCTTATAAGGGTGACTCCTTCAGTGGGGTCGTTTCCTTATTTGATTTTGATTGGTTTGGGTCTGGGCACCAAGGCCCTGAAGTGCACTCTAAACTTTAGGAATGATCCCACTTATAATATTCATAATGGTCCTGTGTTCTCCCAAAAGCTTTAACTGCACGCTCACAGCTGCTGACCCCAAAGCACGTGATCTCCTGGAGCCTGGACCACCAGAAAGGAACGAAGAGAATGACTGAACACTGTGAGCCTGCACTCGTGACCTGTGAGTGCCACAGAGACGAGTGAGAACTTCATGGCCTGTGGCCGTCACACAGGACAGGGGAGCTGTGGGAACCGCAGAGCAGGAGCTGAGAGTGCCACTAATCCCTGAGATCTAGTTATTTACTTATTTATTTATTTCTTAGTCCTCACCCCAGGGTATTTTTTTCATTGATTTTTAGATAGAGTGGAAGGGAGGGAGGGGGAGAGAGAGAGAGAGACATCAATGTGAGAGAGACACATTGATTGGTCACCTCCTACATGACAATGACTGGGGCCGGGATCAAACCTGAAACCCAGGTACGTGCCCTTGACCAGGAATCAAACCCAGGAGCCTTGGGTCCAAGGGCTGATGCTCCAACCACCGAGCCAAGCCAGCTAGGGCTAATCCCTTACATTTAGATCACCTCTCTCTATTAGACTGGGAGTCTGATCAAAGGCGGGGGATGAGGGTGGGAGGTGCGGGAGGATTGTTTAAAGGAGACAGTAGGCCCTAAATGGAGTCACTTGTGCTAAGCCCCCAGTCAGCAAACCAAGACTTCATACCTAACCTAACTGCAGTTTTACCTCACAGGTAAAACTCTTGAACCAGTTGATCTGCAATTACCTGGCCAATACCAGTGAGGTAATCAGCCTGACAGACGCCTCCCGGCTCCCACAGGATGACCTTGCCTGGGGCGATCCAGCCTTTGCCAGAGCCGTCCTCCTTCTGCACCCTTCTGCCCCGGAAACCCTTTCACTTTGCACAGCAATTTGGGCTCCTTCCATCTGCTGGATGGGATGCTGCCCAATTCAGTAAAGATATAGAAACATTGAAAACCAACCAAGTGGAAATGAAGAATGGCACAGCAGAAATTAAGAACACATTGGAAGGACTAACAAGCACAGTAGAGGAAGCTGAAAACCAAATCAGTGAATTAGAAGACAGAATAGAAAAAATCAACCAATCAGAAAATCAAAAGGAAAAACAATTAAAAACAGAAAGACAGCTTGAGAGAACTGTGAGACAATTGGAAACATAATAACATTTGCATCATAGAATCCCCAAAGAAGAAAAAAAAAAATGTGCAAGGGATGATTGAATAAAGCCAACTAGGTCTTTACATTTACTCGGCTGATTTTTCTTTTTGCACTGGTATCTCTCACTTTCCACTTGGGGGCTCCTCCTCACCCACAGGAACTCCCCTGTCATCTGACATATGGGAAAACGGGGCAGACTTCATCAATGGGCATAAGTCAGAGGAGTCTAAGGTGAACCTCAGTCACCTCCAGCAGGGACCAGCTTAGCGACACAGCTGTGTCCTTTTATCTTGTCTGCCCCTGTTCAATCTCCCAGTGCCACCCCGACATCCTGCTCATTGGAGTCACTGCCCAAAGTAACTGTCTTTAAAAAAAATATCTTTTTCTTTATTGATTTTATTTTTTTCTTAATTTTTTTATTGAGTTTTTAGCAAGAGAAGAAGGGAGAGGAAGAGATAGAAACATTGATGAGTGACAACAACAACTGGCTGCCTCCTGCATGCCCCCCACTTGGGATCAGGCCCACAACCTGGGCATGTGCCCTGACCGGGAATCAAACCGATGACCTCTTGGTGCATGGGTCGACGCTCAACCACTGAGCCACACCAGCCAGGCCCAAGGTAATTGTCCTGATGAGGCCTTCATATCAGGAAGAAGTCCAGTGTAGGCGCTCATGCTATCTGTGTTGGTCTTTCCTTTTAGATTCTATCTCTCAATATAATACAATATATTTCATATATGTAAATTTCAAATGTAAATATATGAAATATATATAAATTGAAGTTATCAAAAATCTCTTCTTCATCGCTCCTTCAAGTCAAGAAGTCTCAGTCACCAGATTGTCCCACAGTTTCTCCATCAAGGATATCTCAGACTTTGCTTTTTCAGTGTGTATTTGGCGCTGGCTTGGCCACGCTGTATATGTAAATGTTTCTGTATATGTAAAATCCATCTATTACAGAGATTCTCTCTGAGTTACAATGTTTGCATTGCAGCCTCCATAGCTGGTAGAGAAAAGAGCGTAACACTTCCCAGGTTGGAAACTGTCATTTGGAGAGTTGAATGAACTTCCCTGCTGAGGGTGCAGGCTGCTTTAACTCTAGAAGCAACATTTTGATGAACCTTTCAGTAAGGTTAACGTGCCTACCACTCTCTCCATGATGGTATTATGCTAAATAAAGGAAATGGATAAACAAACAAATTAATAGATTGGTGGTTACAAGACAACAGATTGGTGGTTACAAGACAACAGATTGGTGGTTACAAGAAGGGAAGGGGTTGGGAGGAGAACAAAATGGGTAAAGGGGGTCAATTGTATGGTGACAAATGGAAAGTAGACCTTTGGTGGTGAGCACCCTGGAGTGTATACAGATGTCAAATTATAATTGTGCCACTGACACTGAAATAATGTTATAAACCATTGTTACCTCAATTTAAAAAAATAAAGAGTCCTTGCCATTCTGGAGGTGGGGTGGGGGTGGGATTTGGTATATGCAAAGTAACAATGGACATTAAATGATGGTAAATTTTATTATTAACTGTCATTATAGTTACTTATAATATGTGTAAATAGAGGGGGGTCCATTAAATTAGTCTCGACTTTTGTATGTTTCTAATGTTTTTCTTAATATAAATTTTTATAAGTGCAAAAATATTTGAAGAACTTATACAAATTTGAGACATTAAGAACTAAAAAGAGAGATATGCCATGTTTATAGGTTGAAAGACTCAATGGTGTAAAAAGAAATGTTAGTTTTTCCCCAATTGGACCCCAGGAGAACTCACCCGGGAGATTTGCCAGCATTGCAGCCGAGATTTTGGTCCCACAGCGATTCCCTGCTCCCAGCCTCCTCCCCCACCCCAACAGCTGTCTCAGGCACCCAGAGAACTTCCCAGTGCGCTCTGAACCCAGTGTTGGGTCAGGGCCTCCTTCGGTGCATGGTGTTCTTTGAGTTCTCTTTGACGTCTCCTTAGTTGCAAATACCTTATAAGTAGTTACTAATTTTTTATATTGCATAGTCCCTTTCACACTTCTGTGTGGTTTGTATCTCCTAAGTGGATCTGACTGATACACTAGTAAGAGTAAAGTTGAGGTTGTATGTAGGTAATATGTGTGACCAGCAATTATCTGTGTGTGCGTGAGCGAGAGCGAGCGAGAGAGAGAGAGAGAGAGAGAGAGAGGAACTTTCACAAAGAATACCCATAGCAGTCTTGTGCACCATAATCTGAAGCTGAAAACAAATCCAGCAGGAGACAGGTTGGCTGTGAGGTGGGAGGGAAAGAGAAAAGTCAAAGCTATCTCCAAGGTTTTTAACGCGAACAGCTGGAAGGTAAGAGTTGCCATTTCCTGCGATCAGCAAGTCTTTGGCATTTGAAGGTAAGACCAGAAACCAGTTTTAGACGTGTGATGAGGCATTCAAACGGAGGTGGCAGGCAGGCAGCTGGATATGCAAGTCTGGATGACCAGCCTGGGTTCCCACTGAACTTCTACATTTGGGGGGTTCTCAGCATACAGAGAGTCCTGAAGTCAAGAGATTGGGTAATGTCACCAAACAAGTGTGACATTGGGACACTCTTCTTGGATGACTGCCATAGTCTCACTTCCCATGCCCACCCTCCATCCCTACCCCCAGAAGGTCATCTTCTTTCAGCATCCAGAGTGACTTTTCAAAGCATAATTCAGATGATATGACTTCATTGTCTGAACCTCTTCAATGGCTCCGTGTTGCTCGCAGATTCAAGTCCAAACTCCTCACCAAGAGGCCCTGGCTGCTCCTCGCACCTCCACCATCCTTTATTCTTGTTTCCCTGCTCTCTACAGACTGGTCCCCCGCTGGGTTGTGTTGTTTAGTCCTCAGATGCACGGATCTTCCCCACGTCAGAGCGTCTGTGCTAGCTGCTCCTTCAGCCTGGAGGGGAAGCCTCATCTTCCCTGGCTCCTCCTTTTCATTCAAACTTCAGCTCAAAGTGCCACTCTTTACAGAATTCCTTCCAGAACATCCTCTCTAGAGCATTTATTTGATCACTAGCCACTGTAGCAGGACACTCAGCAGCACTTTTTCATGGCACTGATATCTGCCACTGCGTTAGCTGTGGGCGCATCGTCTGTCCCCTTCTAGAACCTCGGCTCTGCATGCAGAGGCCCAGCCTTGCTCTCTAGGGCACATCCCCAGTGCCCCGAACAGCAATGCCACCTGGTAGGCAGTCAATACATATTTGCTGAATAAATGACTGACAGACAGGACATTGTATCCTCCTGAGCTTCCAAATCAAGGAGAGAACCTTGGGCTGCCATGTTCATTTCCTGGCTTTATCTTTCCTCATGTCTGCCTTTTGCTCCTTCACTAGTTAGTTCCCCCAAGGTCGCAAAAGACCAACAGTGTTGTAAAGATATTAGAAAGAATACTTTATTGCAACGCCTGTGAATCAGAGGATTGTGTAAAGCAGTTACTCTAATCTAAAGGTCTGCGCACAGTGGAGCGCACGGTGACTCGGGAGGCTGACCCGCCTGCCGGCAGCGCCGCCCATCCTGCGAGGCCAGCGGAGGACCCGTCTGCAGCCACATCTGCGGGTGGCCATGGGGGCAGCTCTGGAGCACCTCTTCATCTCGGTGGGCATGCTGGTGTGCCTGGTCTACCTGGTGAAGTGGGTGAGATTCTCCAAATGTATTTACCTGCATTTCTGGAAGGTTTTGCCAAGGTCCTTCTTGAAGTCAATGGGACAGTGGGCAGGTAATGACATTGCATCTTTCCCTTTGAGCAAAGATGGAAACGCTTTGGGTGATTTTAAGTGGGGAGGGAGGGAGGGGGTTCTGGAAAGCATGAGTAAAATGAGAATTGTTGGGAAACCAAGGCGTGGGGTCTGAGGAGACCACTGGGGGCTGTGGCCGAGGCTGCGCGCCCGGGGCTTGTCTGCGGCCCTCGCCGGCTGCCTGCTTCCCCGCGGAGTGTCCCATGGCACCACCAGCGAATGCTGCGGGGCCTTCCGCGCCCTCCCTGCCGGCTTTCAAAAGCCCAGAGTGCTTCCATTTCGTTACAGGGTGTTTCAAAATACTGAAATCCAATTCATTTTAATAAACTTATTAAAAAAAAATTCTCTGCGCCCTTTTGGGAATTGAGAGTATTACAAAATCAAGGCCACGAAGATCTCTATGGAGACACTTTATGAGAAAGACGCAATCCGGGTCCGGGCGAGTGTTCCAAGTAGGCTAGCCGCTGCCGCCCAAGGGGCTATCCCCTGGAACCGCCGTGCATCGGAGCTCGGGTCTGGGTTTAAGGCAAAGGCATGAGGCTATGGTTTCAGCATTTCCACAAATAAATGCTGGGCACCAAGAAATCTGGTGACTTTAAAAAAAAGTAAGCAGCTTTAGAAATACCATGCCAAGCTAGATAGGAGAAACTGTGAACAACCTTATAGGGCTGCCAAATAAAATACAGGATATTGAATTACATTTGGATTTCAGGTAACCAGGGGGTAATTTTTTACTAAATGACATCCCAAATGCTGTGTGGGACATATTTCTACTAAAATATTACTCGCTGTCTACCTGAAAATCAGCTTTAACTGGGTGTCTTGCATCCTTACTTGGTGAAGGTGGCAATCTTGCAACTTTAGCAATGGAAATAAAAACGTTTTACTATAGAAAAATGGTTAGGAATGAAAAATGAGTTTTTAACTGTGGCAGGTGGCATTCGCAGCGCTGGGCAGCACGCTGGGTCTCGAGGACTTCTGGGTGCGTGAGCTTCAGTGGCCTGGGCCGCATGCTCTGCTCCTCACAGAGGCAGATGCACACGCCGCGGGCCTTGCACTGTACAAATGCTGCCCCTCGGTGCTGGGCAAAGCCCTCTGAGAACACATGTTCCAAAAAGAGTTCACATGAGGCCAGAGACTAGAGCATTTGTTGACTGAAAACACATCATCTTTTCCTGTCTTTTGAGTCAGTCTTGAGTAGTGTTATCATTAGCAGGAGTAAAAGGTCCTTGGGTACAGGCAGATATTGGGGAGATAATATAGTTCAAAAGGGGAGGGGGGCAAGAAGAAAAGCCAGGGACTAGAGACTGAAATGTAAACTCCGCAGAGCTCTGTGGCTGATTGGCTCATTATGTCATTGGCAGATCTCAATAGGCTTGTGGGCCCAGAGTCTGACAGCCTGGGTGAGATCCCATCATCAGCATTTTTAGTAGTGTGATCTTGACAGAGTTAAGAACTTCCTCTCTCTTGGCTTGTGATCTATAAACTAAGAATGATGGTCCCTACATTAGAGGACTGTTGTGAATAGTAAGTGACATGATGCATCTGAAACACCTGAAACAGTGCACGGCAGAACGGAAGCACTCAATGGATGCCAGCCATTTATTGATGCTATTATCTAACTATAGTACAGGCCTTGTACTGGGGGATTTTGAATATCCCCATAATAGAGGGGAAGGTGAGGCAAAAGATAACCCTGAGCATAGTACCTTCTACTAGGGGAACAGCTGACATGCATGGGTTCGCTTAAAAGTACCCAATTAAAACAGATAAAATCATTAGTAGTTATTAAGACCAGCCTGCTTCTGCCAGTTTGCTGCTGGGAGCTTGTACAACTTGCTCTGCTCTCATTCACAAGTGAGCCAAATGTGTACGTATCTTCTGTTCACACGTTTGGAGCGCATAACTTTTCATGGTTGGAGCAAAGGTGAACTGCAGATACGTATTTACTGAATTGAAGTGCATTTCGACATGGTGACGTTCAGCAAGTGAGGTCTGTGCCAGAGCTCAGCCCGGCTGCATGCCCGTGGGCTGGATAGTGAAGGGTCAGGCCAGTCTGCCTGTTGCATAGGAATCAGTGGGACCACGGAGTGCGGGGCTTCAGATCCCTTCATTTCTCTCATCCTCCTCTTGCATTTCTGAACTTCTCATTTGTTAAGTCCCCTACCTGCCGTGGGCTTTGGCTGCCGCTGATCTGTGGGGGTGGAGAAAGCAAGGAGGAGGACTCGGCTTTTAGAAGGAACCTTGAAATGTCCTTGCAGTGACAGCTGGGTGTGTGGATAGAGAGATAATAGGGTGCAGTGCGTGCCCGTGGTGAGTGAAGGCTTGGAGATGTCTAAACCCGGATGAGGTCTGAATGAAATGTGCCCTGGCCGGTTTTGCTCAGTGGTTAGAGCGTCGGCCTGCAGTCCAGAGAGACCCGGGTTCGGTTCCCGCTAAGGGCACGTGCCTCGGTTGCAGTTTGTCCCCGGCCTCTGTTGGGTCGTGGGTGGCAGGCACTCGATGTGTCCCCCCACTCTCTCTCTCTCCCTCCCACTCTATCTGAACAAAATATCAAAAAATGTCCTCGGGTGAGGATAAAAAATAAATAAAAATAAGAAAAAATAAGAAATGTTCCTCAGCTGGGGTTCTTTATTTCATCTTGGAGAGGATTGTTCAAGGTTCACCAATCCCTCAAGACAAAAAAATAAATAAGTAAAGCTTCATTTTGAACCTTTGTGAAGGAAGTCAGGGGCTCCCAGTTGAGCGCTGCTTTGGAGCATAAGCGTCCCGGAGAGACGGCCTGTGAGAACACATAGCGGGCGAGGAGGCGGACCCCAAGGTCAGATCTGCCCTCTAAAACCAGCTCTGCTTTTTGCAGTGATCACTGGAGCAGGAGATGGGATCGGGAAAGCGTACTCCTTTGAGGTAAGTTGTGCTTTGGGGACTTTCTCTGCCTCTTGAACTGAAAACACCATGGTTGTGTGACGCCCACCCCAGCACCCGTGTCCTGACTATGAAGACAATAGACCTTCATGTAGGAAGGAAATATTTTCTGTATAAAAGGAAATCTGAAGGTCATTATCTCACTTCCTGGAGACCTTCTTAAAAAATGCAATGATATTCAAGGGTGCCAGTGTCTCCACTTAAGAGTTGTTTTAAAAATGTAGGGAGCACTATTATGTTCTGCTGTAATTTTATTACACAATTAAAAAAAATTCTAAACCATGTTTATTTATTCTTTATATTATGGTTAGGTCATGTATAGACTTAAAATGTATTTGTGTAGGCAGGACATATTATCTGTGACTCTAATTTCAAGATTAATACTACACAAAGAGATTGTCTGATAGGGCTGAGAGTTGTTGGAATATGATTAGTATCTTTCAGTATTTCTTTCCAGGCTTTTTGTTCCTCTGCAGATAGATCAATAGATGATAGATAGATAGATAGATAGATAGACAGACAGACAGACAGACAGAAAGGAAGGAAGAAAATAGATGGGTACCTTTAAAAAATACATTTATAGTGTATGTCATTTTATATGCTATTATTATTTCTATTACAAATTCCATTAATGGAGTATTGTTTCCTGGAATTCCTATTTATTTTATTTCTTCCCAGTCATTACACTGACCTCTAGAAGCATATAAAATACAAAAGAAGAAATAGAATCTTAAGAGTTATAAGGATGGCTGTTAAAAAATCAGTAACACCTTAAAAATATAATGAAACGCACTTCAATTATGAAAACTACATTGACGCTTTCTCGTCCCCAAAGCCTTCATTGTGACAGACACAAGCACCCTGTGTGAGATGGACAGTGCAAGGTGTCTGGGAGGCACCTGGCCGAAACCTCTGGGACTCGGACAACCCTAAACCAGGCCAGTTAACCACGCTCCTGTTGCTGGTCGTTCGGGTCTGCCCTCATCCTTTATCCTCTGGCGGTCGTGTCTCTGGTACCGACATTCTGCTTCAGTGGCGCTCTTATCCCACTCGGTGCGCAACAACTGCTGATGGTTAGTGGTGCCCAGCGCTCAGCAGCTGAGTGGTCATATTTGAGAGTTGAGGTTGCGGAGACCACTCAGCAGCCACTCTCCAAAGCCTTGTCTTCCATACTCAAAAATCAGAAGGAAAGTTTTCACAGCTATTTGCATTAAAGCTGTATCACCTTTTATATGATTATTTTCTACCTTAGATCAGGTTTCTGGAAAGGGCCTAATCCCTCATCCAAAGATCCATGGCCTTGCCCTGGCGGGTTTGGCTCAGTGGTTAGAGCGTCCGCCTGAGAACTGAAGAGTCTCAGGTTCAATTCCCAGTCAAGGGCACGTAACTGGGTTGCAGGTTCAATCCCCTCCCTCTCTTCCACTCTATCTAAAAATCAATGAAAAAATAGCCTCAGGAGAAGATTTAAAAAAAAAAAAAAAGAAGAAGATCCATGGCCTCACCTCTTAGTGCTCCGGATTGCCAAGAAATTTAGATCCTTTATGATTTTCCAGATACTTTCCTCATACTCATGCCGACTTGACCTACTGTGGTCCCTTTGATATCTTAAGATTCGGATACATTTCTTTCTGCTTAGAGGAGACCTGTGTGGAAGCTCTCAGCCATTCGTTTCGTCACTGCTTCCAAAAGCCCGGGGGTCAGGAGCTGAGGGTTCTGGTGCTCACTCTGAAACTAACTGTCTGGAGATTTTGGACAAGTTACACATTTCTGGGCTTCTAGTCTTTACCAGCACAAAAGACACCTCCCAAGGGCCTTCAAGTCCTAAATTCTGTTTCTGTTCTAGACTAGTTCTTGCTTTGCTCTTCTCCTTGTATAATTGTTTTCTTTGTTCTCTTTTGTTCTTTTCTAAGGCGGCTCGACATTTTCTGGACTTCCTAGCTCTCCTTCATGCAGACTTTTCTCCCTTCCAGAGAGCCCGTTCTCGCCTCCCTGCTACCCCAGGGAGAGCAGAGACTGGGATACTGTCGACTGTAATGGTTAGGAGCCCCAAACTGGGCATTGACTAGACATCTTTCTGTTCACACCCTGCCTTCGACGTGTGCTGCAGGATTTCCACACCAATAAACTGGAGGTGATGACAGTCCCACCTGGGCTTTTGTAAAGGTTTAAATGGCATGAGGAGGGCAAAATGCTTTGCACAGAATGAGGTTAGCCACTATTATACTGGATGTTTACACTGCGTTTCCTTTCCTCTATAGTCTTTTTTTTTTTTTTATCCTCACCCGAGGACATTTTTTGATATTTTGTTCAGATAGAGTGGGAGGGAGAGAGAGAGAAACATCACCATGAAAGGGACACATTGAGTGGTTGCCATTCACACGACCCAACCAGGGCCGGGGACAAACTGCAACCGAGGTACATGCCCTCAGCGGAAACCGAACCTGGGTCTCTCTGGACCACAGGCTGATGCTCTAACCGCTGAGCCAAACCGGCCAGGGCTTTTTTTTTTTTGAGGAGGAAAATGAATTGTACTTATCATATTTTACTCTTTCCATTATTCTTTCTTTTCCCCTGATGTTCCAAGGATCTTTCTTTTGTTATTTCTTTTCTATTTAGAGAAATTCCTTTTCAGGTAAGTCTGCTGGTGACAATTTTTCTTAGTTTTCCTTCATCAGAGAATGTCTCCACTTCCCTTTCATTCCTGAAGGATAATTTTGCTGGATAATTTATGGCTGATAGTTCTTTCTTTCATCGCTTGTGGCCTCATAGTCTCTGATGAGTCTGATGTCATACAAATTATTTTTCCTCTTTCCCAGCCAGTGTGGCTCAGTGGTCGAGTGCTGACCCATGCACCAAGAGGTCGCCAGTTCGATTCCCAGGCAGGGCACATGCCCAGGTTGTGGGCCTGATCCCCATTGGGGGGGTGTGCAGGAGGCGGCCAATCGATGTTCTCTGTCATCTATGTTTTTAGCTCTCTCTCCTTTCCCCTCCCTCTCTCTTTCTAATATCAGTAAAGAAAAAAACATCTAATTGTTTTTCCCCTTTAAGTAAGGTGGTGTTTCTCTCTTTCTCACTGTTTGCAAGATATTTTCTTTGCCTTTAGTTTTCAGTTTAGTTATGATGTTTCTTGGTGTGAATTTCTTTGGGTTTATCTTGTTTGAGGTTCACACAGCCTCTGTAAGTTAATGTCTTTTTACAGATTTGGAAATTTTTCATTCAAGATTTTTGCAAATACTTTTTCTGCTCAACACTCTTCTCTTTTTCGGAGACTCTAGTAATATAAATGTTAGCTCTTTCTTATAGCCCAATGGGTGTCTGAAATGCTGTTCATTTGTTTCAGTGCATTTTTCTCTGTTGTTTAGATTGGGGAATTTTCAATTGTTTCATCTTTAAGTTCACTGATTCTTTCCTTGGTCCCCTCCATTCTGCTACTGAGCCCATTCATCAAGTTTTTAATTTTGGTTATTGCCTTTTTGTTGTTTTCTTCTTTATGCCTCTTTGAATTAAATTTATATACATAAACATCATTAGGCACCAGGGAAATATAAACTAAAACCACAATGAGATATCACTACACAACTGTCAGACAGAATAGCTAAAATAAAATTTCAAAATACTGACGCCACCACGTGCTGATGAGGGTGTGGAGAAAACAGGTCCCACTCCTGCACTGCCGCCGGGAGCAGCAGACACTGGGGAGGCAGTCCGCCAGTTTCTGACCGCTCAGCATTTACAGAACAGAGACTTATATCCACACAAATACTCATAGACAAATGCCTATAACAGCTTGATGTGTATTGCCAAACGCTGGAACAACCTAAATGAATTCATCTGTCCTTTGACAGATGAATGTTTGACAAACTGAAACATCTGTACCATGAATTCTACTCAACAAACTACTGACACACCCTGGATGAATCTCCAGAGGATTATGCTCAGTAAAAAACAAGTAAATCCAAAAAGGTTACGAAGCATATGGTTCCATTTATATAACATGCTTGAAATGACCAAATTATAGAAATAGAGACCAGATCAGGGGTTGCCAGGGATTAAGGAGGGAGTGGAAGTAGCGCAGGTGGGGTGGTTTTTGTTTGTTTGTTTGTTTGTTTCTTCATTTATCTTTAGATAGAGTGGAAGGGGATGGGAGAAAGAGAGAGAGAAACCTCGATATGAGAGAGACACATCAATTGGTTGCCTCCCGCACAACTCCGACCAGGGCTGGGAGGAAGCGCAACCAAGGTACGTGCCCTTGACTGGAATTAAACCCACGACTCTTTGGTCCTCAGGCTGATGCTCTAACCACTGAGCCAAGCCAGCCAGGGCGGGGTGGAGTGTTTATAAAAAGGGCAACACAAGAGATCATATGGTGATGAAACTATGCTGACTTGATCATCTCCTTGTCAACATCCTGCCTGTGATGATGTATGATAGCTTTGCATCTTCAATGATTTCAAAATAAAATGTTTAATTGTTTTTTAAGTTAAAAGAGAACAAAGTAAGTACATGAAATGTAGATGACAGTGCTTTTTATTTTTTTATTTTATTTATTTTTTTATCCTCACCCGAGGACCTTTTTTTTTTGATATTTTGTTCAGATAGAGTGGGAGGGAGAGAGAGAGAGAGAGAGAAACATTGACGTGAAAGCGACACATCGAGTGATTGCCACCCGCACGACCAACCAGGGCCGGGGACAAACTGCAACCGAGGTACGTGCCCTTAGCGGAAACCGAACCCGGGTCTCTCCGGACCGCAGGCCGACGCTCTAACCGCTGAGCCAAACCGGCCAGGGCTGACAGTGCTATTTAACAGAGAGTGAGAGATGTGTGTGGATTGGGTGGTGGTTGCGTGGGGCTGAGCTGGGGCCAAGGTGAACTGGGAGACCAGAGGGGCTGGCCCAGCTTGGGGACAGTTGGGCTGCTTTTGTACAGGCCAGAGCATTTGCATGTGCTACCGCAGGGATCCTGTAGCTGGGCTAGGCTGAT